CATCCAGACAGCGTCTCTTTCAGGGAAGGCCTTTCATATTTTAGCAAGATAATGCTGAACCACACACTGCATCCATCACAACAGCATGGCTTCACAGAAGAAGAGTCCGGGTGTTGAACTTGCCTGCCTGCAGTCCAGTCATTTCACCAATAGAAAACATTTGGCACAAACGAAAAAACCAGCAAAGAAGACCCAGGACTGTTAAGCAGCTAGAATCCTACATCAGATAAGAATGGGACAACATTCCTCTCCCAAAACTCCAGCAACTGGTCTCCTCACTTCCCATACGTTTACAGACTGTTGTTAAAAGAAGAGGGAATGCTACACAACGGTAGACACGGCCCTGTCCCAACTTTTTTGAGATGCGTTGCTGCCATCAAGTTCTAAATGAGTAAATGTTTTTCATGAAATGGTAAAATGTGTCACTTTGAACATCTGATACGTGTTCTATGTTCTATTATCAATAAAATATGGCTCTTTGCAAATCATTGCATTCTGTTTTTATTTACATTTATTTACATTTTACACAGCGTCCCAACTTTTTTGGAACTGGGGTTGTAGATGCTACAGACAGAGATTGGCACACTCCTTTAATGTGTTATTTCTCCAGGCAAATGAAGCTCTTTACAGTCAGTGTGGATGTAATGAAAGCTTTTGCTCACTAGGTGGCAGCAGCACATCTGCTGATCTTCACCTCGGCGTACTGAACATCCTGCTCCTCTAAGTCCAGAGGAAGTGTGGAAGCAGTGGATGGAGACTTGTGTGACGAGTTAGAGGGTCTGAAATGAACACTGGAGTACTGAACGTCATCCTGATTATCTGTAGCTTCTTCACTCTGAGAGAGAGAGAGAGAGAGAGAGAGAGAGAGAGAGAACACTATTAGAATTACAGGTACAGGTGATCAGGTAACATAATCACACAGTCCCTCCTCTCCAACATGTTCACCTGTCCACTCTGCTCTGTGCTCCTGTGGCCTTCAGATGAGCTGGATTTCCTCCTCCTGAGAAATTAACAATGGGATAAAACAAAAAACTGCATTTCACAGTCATACGAAAGTGTAACTCATTGTTTTGAATTGGAAACTCAGCTAAAGTTCAACATCCCATCTCATTATTTCAGCTTACGAACGTACTTTCAGCTACATGATGAACTAACATGTCAAAATAATGAGATATTAACCTGAACTTATGCGCTAAAAACTTGAAATAAGATATAAAGTGGACATACGCTTTTAAGTTATATAACAAGATACGAGCTAACAATAAAATGAGATAAAGACATTTAATTGATTTCCAGCCAAAACAGCCATTAGGCACACGTTATTCATTTTTAAGGAGAAACATCTGAGGAGATTAGAAATAAGATAATCCAGCTGCATAAGGAAGGAGAAAGTCAAAGGACAATAAGTGAAAAAACAGGAGGCTTAAAAACTGGAGCTCAAAAACTGATTAAAAGCTGCAGAGAAAACAGGACTCCTAACACCTGGAAGACCTGGTAGACACCAAAACTGCCCCCATAAAACAGCACTTTGTGAGTTCAGACCCTGCCTTCAACATGTGGTGGTAGCATGAGGGAAGACTGATTGAGGGAGGGGATCTCTGAGTACTTGGGCTGAAGTTCTGGGCAGCTTCTGACTGTAGCTAGAAGGCCAGACTCCCCCTCATAGCTGTATCAGGACTGATGCAGGCCTGAGGAACAAGGGGGACATGGGGTGGCAGAGGGGATGTGAATTTATAGGTCGTTAGATTGGAAGAAGGAGGGGTTTCAGCCCTGTTTCAGTTACAACATAACTCCACTTAAAGCTTTCACCTTTAAGAGAGAGGAGAAAATCAAGCTGCTTCAGATCTGAAAACATCCACAGGTGTTTCTGTCCATCCTTCCACTGTGAGAAGACGACTCAGCGCTGTGGGTCTGAAAGGATGTGTAGCTGTCAAGAAGAACCTCACTGAGAAAAGGAGACGGACACATCAAACAAAGAAGCTGAACAATGGACTGACCACCCCAGAGTCCAGACCTCAACACCACTGAAGACTGAAAGAATTATTTGGAGTTTGAGGTTTTTGTGCAATTGTATATTAAATATATGTTCTGCTTCTTAATGGCTGTTTTGACTGGAAATTAAATAAAAGAAAGTGTGGACCGTCAGAGCACAGTGCTGTTGCTGTAAACAGAGAAAAGTTTACAAACCAGATCCACACTGATACAGTGATGAGTATCAGAGCCAGACAGACTGCTACAGCCACGATGATGAAATTTACTGTTGAACCTTCAGAAACAAAGCTTATAAATTACAGCAGATGAAATGTTATTTCTGTGACTTCACTAAATATAGCTGTTGTTATGCAATGCAAGTTCATACAGTTGTATGCAAAGGTCTGAACACTCCCAGTCAAATTCCATGTTTATTTTTTCCCAATATGTTAAATTCAGTAAATAAACAGTAACTGTGCAATACAATGGGCAGACGTGTTCTCTGTGGAAGCTGTGTTATTTTCACTAATCAACAAAACATGGAATTCGACCGGGGTGCACAAACATTTGCATACAACCATAAATATATTGAGATACAGAATTAAAAATGACATTATAAATCACATAATAATGATAAAACAGTGCTGTCATTTAAAGATGGGGTTGCTGTATGTACTGTAATTAGTATTGTGTATTAAGATAGATAGAAAGTAATAAATGACATTTCTGTACTTGAGCACATTTTCCCTTTAACTTTCTGAGAGCGCTTCATAGGAACAATTTAAAGGAGGAGCTGCTGGTGGCCTTCTACCACTCCACGATAGACAGTGTATCAGTGTACTGCATTACAGTGTGGTATGCTGGCTGCTCAGTAGCAGACAGGAGAACCCTACAGAAGGTCATAAATAATGCTCAAAAAATCATCGGTTGCCCTCTGCCCTCTCTGGAAGACATCTCCAGCTCCCGGTGCCTCAGAGCCAGGAAAATAACCAAGATCCCTTCCCATCCTGGTGACCAACTGCTCAATCGCCGGCCGTCTGGCAGACGGTACAGGCCAAACCCGGCAAACAGACTTAAGTGTAGTTTTTCCCTGGGCCATCAGAACTCTAAATTCCACAAATATTAAATTATAAGTGTAGTAAACACTGAAATAGGCTTATATGATCTGAGGACTACTGCCACCTATTGGGTTCTTTTAAGATTAACTGTGATACAGTTTATTAGAAAAAGGATTATATACATCTTTTGTATATAAATGTTTTTTACATTTCTTAACTTGCTTGCTGTTTTCTGTCTTGGTTTGCACTGATTGAAGTAGCACTCTTTATTTGGTTGTATATTTTATACAGTGACAATAAAGGCGTTCTATTCTATTTTATTCTATTCTATTCTAACAGCACCTTAATTTTGAATAATTTTACAGAGTAAAAATAAATTATGAGCAGCTCAAGAGTCAATGAGAAGAAAGCCCAGGTCATTTTAATAGATTTGGAAACCAATCAAAGCAAAGAAAAAAGAGCAGCTCTGATCTGCAAAAACACTTCAGCCCTGATGTTACTTTCAGTCTTTTATATAAACGTCAATGTAGAATGGTTTCAAATTTTTGGATGCATGACACTATGTGGCGTACAGTGTGTGGTGGCCTTTTGGAAATGACTGGATGAGACAGCGAAGGCAGCAAAGCACTAAAGCAGTTGCCTTCAATATTGGATACAGCCGTAGTGTACAGCTGCTATTTTACTATTCTTTACTGGAAGTAATGCTACTAGTAGCCAGTAATTTGCTGTAACAGTGATTTGTATGTGATGTTTGTTGTGTTGTACTTTAGTGTTGTGTGTGATCTGTGTTTGGAGGATTGTGTAGACACCTGCTCTCTTCTGACCTGACTTCACCTCCTCATACTGGAATGTGTTACTGAATAAATTTATGTCAGTGTACTCAGTATTCAGTCATCGCTACAGAATACTTATACTTACATAAAATGTTTTTTAATTTTTTATAGTATTCTGTCCAATTCTAAACTCATGTAGACCTACCTCTGCTTCCTAAAGCACAAGAATACTGGTGTATATCCTCACTGCTCGCTGACTCCAAGTAGAGTTTGTTGTATTTGGTGGGTTTGTTGGTTACAGGCTCTCTGTTCTTGTACAAGATGTAAGTGGGGTTGTTGGGCAGAGTGCAGGTGGAGCTACAAGCCAGTGTTACTGTCTGACCTTCTGATGGACTGCTGGGACTCGCTCTCACCTGAAGGTCTGAAAGTAAAAAAAAAACAACAAATTTTTCATTTAAAGTCTTATGCAAATTTTGAATACTGTTGGCCAAATTACATATTTAGTTGATTTTTAGAGAGAAAATAAGTTTACACATCCTCTACAGAGAAGTTAAATATGGCATTTTCCTGCCAATTTTAGTGCACAATTTCTATTTATTTGCTGAGTTTAACGTATTGGAAAAAAAAAACATACTGTACCATCAGCGCAGAAGATGCGTAATGTTTTCTTCTTCTGCACCAACTCTACAGTATGTTTTTTCCAATATGTCAAAGGCTCTACGTGTGACATTTTCAAAACGAAACAGCTATTTTCTATTTTAAAATATAGTGGAATAATAGTGTCCTGAACAGAGGAAAAAGTCACATAATTAAGATTGTATTTTAATCTGAGTTTCTCTGTTTTTTGTTTTCATAGCTAGTCTGGCTGCATGTGTGTGTTAGCATGTTTTTACTGTTTCACAGAACCAGTAGGTCAGTATTGTTTTGTTCCAAAACAACTAGTTAGCTTTGTAGCAGCAATTGTAGCGACAGTTCGCTAAACCACAACCCAGCTATCATTAGTTACATTGCTTGCTGTGTGTTGTTCGCTCTAATGTTATATCACAGTATTTGACTGTACAATGTTTGCGAAGGGTTATATGATCACATAGATCTAAAAAAAAAAAGGTTTGCCAGCCCAGTGTTGTTTGCCTTGGGAATGCACATCCCTGAATTTGGGGGGAGGAGTTTCTGAAGGAGCAGTGAAGGGAGGGCTGTATTTGTTTTGCTGTTGAGTTTAAATATCAACAATCATTCTCCAGAATCTTATACTGCGCCTTTAACTCAGCAAATGCTCTTTAATGAACAAGCAATTCAACTGCAAGTCTTTATAAAGACTAGAAATGCCCAGCCTGGCACTACCCCAACAAAAAACACAGGAAGGGGGTGAAGTGGGAAGACACATCATACAAGGAGGGTAGACACTTCTAACCACAAGTTCACTACAAAGCCCACCTTCCTCAGACACAATTACTCCAATAAATACAACTAGACCACACAAAACCGTCCATCTTCAACTGGGAGTGTGGCACCTCCCAGAAGTCACTTTGCATGGCTACACCCCCTAAGCTCTTCATGCAGTGCACCTATGGCAGAAACCACAATACAATATAAAATGTGCCAAAACATTTGCATAGACCATGTTTTATATTTCATGATTTTTTTTCCAATGTGTTAAATTCAGCAAATGAAGTAACTGTGTTTTAAAATGTGCAGAAGTGTGTCTCTGTAGAGGATTGTTAACATATTTTCACTTAAAAAATCAACAAAACATCATCTATACAAGGGTGCGCAAACTTTGGCACATGACTTATAGAATTCAAACCCTCTTCATCAAGAGGCCAGACATGTGTCCAGAGCAGATCTTTCCTTCAGACTGTAATAAAATAATTAAATTAGAAACAAACAGACATAACTGAACCATCCAGGCTCCGCCCACTACTGTGTTCTTTTGTAGCTACTGTTATTGAGCTGGACAAGCTTTACAGAACACTGGCAAAAATCTTATTCAACCTAATCAGAAGTTGTTGGGAACAACTCAGTTGTTAACAGTCTTCTGTCAAATATTAACAGTTCTATAAACTGTGTCCAATGTAGCAACAGTAGCTAGGAAAGAATGTAATTGTGGGCGGAGCCTGGATAGACTGATTTGGTGTGGAGAGGTACCTGTAACATTCAGAATGACTCCAGGTTTACCAAAGAATCCCCCTCCTGTCAGTGTTAGTAACAAATCTAAAGTGATATTCTCCAGAGTCGTTCTTTCTCACGTCTCTCATTCTCAGAGTGCAGTTTCCCTCTTTATCCCCGAGAAACTGAACTCGACCAGAAAATCGCTCGTCCAGACTCAAATCCTTCGGCTCCACTTTAGACTTGTAATACCAGAATGCTTCATTAACTGTGAGATGACTGGGATGTGAGTAAGTGCAGAGAAAGTCCACTGATGATCCCTCCACAGCACACAGTCTTCTGTCTGTGTAGCTCACATTCCAACAGTTCTCATCAAAAACACCTGTAAAAGTAAAACATTACTTTTTTATTTGAATCAGTTCATAAACATAAAGTTATAAACAGCTCTGATACTCACACACTGCACTGGAATAGGTTTCATGGCGTCCTGTGATAACAGAGCAGGAGTAACTGCCAGGATCGCTGGATGAAACCAAAGTGCTCTGGCTGTATTTCCTGTCGATTCTTCCTCCATTTTTAGACCAGTAAAAAGATGTAGAAGTCAAATTGCAGGACGTGATACAGGTCAGTTCTCTCTGATTTACAGGGACAGGACTCACCCTCACCTGCAGGTCTGAGCAGAAATAATGATATAGATAAAGAAATGTGTATATGTACGAGATGGTAACTTTATAGGAGAAGGAAAAAAGGTTCTCAACTTCAGTGTCTGTTAATGTAATGATATTTAATTTTAAGTAATTTTTCGATCATTTCTATTCACCCATTTGTCATGAAATTTCTACACAATGTAAAGAGCAGCTAAAGTCAAAACAGGGAGTTTCTTATAGCAGTGCTGATATACAGTTCTGTGCAAAAATCTTAGGCAGCCATAAAAGTCTAAAACTATTTATCTGGTGTATTTTTGCCAGTAAAAACACTACAAGACATTAAAATAAATACAAATAAATACAAGAAAATGTAAGAAGAATGTGTTGTTATGAATATATATCGCTGCTATCGGAAGAAAACCTTGTATCTCCTTTTTTGTTGTTTTTCAGTTTTTGACATATTTTTATGCCTGTTTCTCTTTACATTGTGTGTAAATTTCATGATGAATGAACGTCCGGTTCCACTGACTTACATTAAAAGTGAAGTAGATTTTTCCTTCTCCTGTAAAGTTACCATTTTGGAGATACAAGGTTTTCTTCAGACATCAGCAGCACCTGATTTAATTTACTGAAGGATTGAGTAGATAAACTAGGTGTTGGATGGTAACTGTATATACTGAACTTCCTCCAGGAGAGATCTGGAAATGATTAAGATAGCAAATTCATATAAAAAACAATCACTATGGATTGTTATTATTTTATTTGAATTAATTTCAATGTTTTTTTTTTTGTTTTGTTTTGCTCAAATAATTGTTTGAGGTAAACGGCTTTACATATTATTGTATCAAGACATTTGCACAGGACTGTATATCTTCGTATCAGTTGCAAAGTTTGAAAATCCCCAGTCAAATGAAGTTTTCTTGCATTTATAATGCATGAACAAAATATTTAATGAGCAGCAGATTATAGTGTTGTGTGTTATAGTTGAGCTGTATTACCTGAAACTGTTAGTCTGACTGCTGAGCTGAGAGATCTCTCTCCTCCTCCTGTGATGATCATGAGCTGATATTCTCCTGAGTCTCTCTCTCTCAGGTCCGTTATTGTGAGAGTAGAGCCGAACCCATAATCAGTGTATCTCACTCGTCCTGCGTAGTCTGAGTCTAAAGCTAAATCCTCTGGATCTTCCTCATTCCTCCATTTAGCCTTTAGTTTGGGGCTGAACCAGAAGCTTTGCTGAGGTTTGTTGGTGGTTGAGTAAGAGCAGATCAGGTTCACTGCTGATTCTCTCAGAGCGCAGACAGTCTGAGGACTGCAGTACACGGTCACTCTCTGACCCAGAGAACCTGAAACTGAAACAGTGCACAGATCTCACCAATCTGAACTCCTCACAGACTTACACTGTATAACTGACTCTAATTCTGCTTTTTTGGTTTTCTGATTTCCACTGTTGGCAGCACATTTTTGATCAGATACACACATATAGGTACTTTAGAAACAGAACCTGACAGCACTCAGTCATTTACAGTTAGCTCTGAGGATGCTGGTGTATAAAATAATAAATTTAATAATAAGAATAAAAACACAAAAGATGCTGTTGATCCAAAGACATTTGGGAGGTTGGAGGTAAATACTAAGGTAATTTAAATTCATGTTAATGTGAGAGCTGTATGCTTATTCTAAGTTTGATGCCTGCAATATGTTCCAGAAAAGTCCGGACAGGAGCAACACCTTTTCCTTTAACACTCAGTAATCGTTTGGGAAGTGCTTGATATTTCATTTTAGCTGTTAAAAATTCCGGAGTCTCTGTTGTCATATATTGGGCTCATAATGTGTCACACATTTTGAATGGGAGAGAGGTCTGGACTGCAGGTAGGTCAGTCGAGCACCTGCACTCTCTTACTACAAAGCAACATGTTTCAACTTTGCGTCAGTCCATCTTGATGAGCTTTAGCCCAGAGAAGTCAGTGGCGTTTCTGGACATTGTTTATATATGGTGCATTGCGTAGTATAGTCTTAATTTGCATTTACAGAGACAGCAACATGTTGGTATGTGAAAAAAAACAGCGTTTGGTCTTTGCAATCGCTGCTGTCTGTTTGTGGTGAAAGTGCCACTGCCACTCCTCGGGAACTGAGATACAGAATCCAAAAAGGAGCATACCATTTCACAGTGGCAGGAGATAAAGCACGTACCACCCTGCTCAGTTCTAATTGGTACTAGCCACATCGCTCTTAATTTGCATAAAGTTGAACTTTGCTTTGCTGCATCACCGACGCTCTTCACTTCTCGATACCAGTGTTGATGCTGCATCCTGTCACTGGAAATCACAGCTCTCATTGAAAATGAATGACCTCCGGCCTATTTGTAGAGTCGCGTCACTGCCAGTGTGAACGTGCGGTAACACGGTGGTGTGTGTGGTGCTGGTACAAGTGTCAGTCACTGTATCTCATTTGTGGGGCTGCAACCTTCTAAGGTCCCATTTTTGGTGCATATGTCATACGCACCATGCCATTTCAAAAGAAAACACAGGATCCTTAAAATGCGGCCTTCTTTCGGCCAAATTCTGAGGATGCTCCGGTGTATGTTTCCCAGCCCTGAATTCCCATAACCTCTGCATCGCAAGCTACTACCATGAAGGAGCAGGGCCAGTTTAGAAAAAAAAAATTAAATGTATGTTGCCCCCATTTGTACATGAAATTAAGCACCAGTTTATCACATAAATAGCTGAAAAGGATGTAAGTGTCCTGTGTTTATATGGATGAACAGCTATATTTTAGCATTGATGAGTAAAGTTGTCAGCATCTCAGTTCCACTCACATTAATTTAAGTACATAAAGTACAGGGTTAATATTCCTAAGCCAACAAACAGTGAGGGAGGCAAAGTGATAGCTGAAACCAGAACGGAGCTCTTAATTAAAATAAAGCAGGTGAAAGCAGGCTAACGTCACTAGTCAAAACTAAATCTGAACTAGATCCAAGGCCAGAAACACACTCAATGCAAGTATGTGAATGCAAATTACAGCGGTCGGCCATTACATTGCAAACACTCAGTCATTCTGTACAAACTCACCGTGCGTTCTTATGTTCCTGTGGCGGTTAAAACACTCAGTACTGAGGGGGGCGGTAGAGGACAAATCAGAGAGGGATTTACTGTTATTCCAACAGCCTCAACAGCTAAACGTGGACAAATAGAGGCGAGTAACCTGCTTAAGAATGGAGAGGAGATAATGTGTCATATTTTTAATGTTTCTGTAAGCCATCTTTCAGTGAGACTATGTAAGTGTAATGCTCAGAATGCAACTTATGCTTACGTTGTGTTATGAAATGCATAGTGACACATTTTTTAATGCAACCATGCAGGAAACCCTGCCTGCGTAGCTTGAAACGTCTGCGTTCGGGCCCTTGCGATGAAGAATGTTTCGGGACATAGCTGACTGTGGAGCGACGGCAGACAGGAAAGTCTCTAATGTTAACTAATCTGTGCAGTGATGGTTCAACTGTGGTTTTGTAGTTAGAAGCAGAGAAAACAGAGAAAATTTGAAAAGCTTAGTCCTCAATCTGTTCACAGGTGTGAAATTACTGCAAGCTATGGATAGGGATGTCTCGTTTCATTCGTTTAATTTCAGCTTGTGTACTTTTTTAAAAAATCCCCTCCTCTTTATTGACTTCGATAACTGCCCTTCTGAACTCTCGTTCATTGTTCAAACACCTCAAACTCAGCTTCACAGCTGATCGGGGTCAGGAGTTATGTAGAGTCATGAATCCTTGGTAGGCAGTATCACATGTTTGCCGCTATAAAAGCAGAGGAGGCTCCTCCGCAGAATGCAGCTGCTAAGGACACTCTACCTAGCAATGGCCTTTAAATGAGACACACTGAGTGTCACTGCTTGAGTTGAGTGTGAACCACCACCTAAAAATATCCAGAAAAGTGCAGCTATCTGGTCAGAATCTACCCTTCCCCAAGTTACCCTACACTATACACACTAGACGTGACTGATGCGGCCGGCGCACTGTACAGTGGTGTTAAACTGTATCCACTTATACTGTTTTGTGTCTGTGCCATTATCCAGTGTCGACCAGAGGAGGATGGGTTCCCCTATTTGAGTCTGGTTCCTCTCAAGGTTTCTTCCTCCTGTTGAGGGGGTTTTTCCTTGCCACTGTCTCCAAGTCTTGCTCACTGGGGGCGCGGACCCGGATTCTCTGTAAAGCTGCTTTGTGACAACATCTGTTGTAAAAGGCGCTATATAAATAAATTTGACTTGACTTGACTTGACTAGACGACACACAGCAGTTCAGTAAAGGCAGAATAATCCTACCTGGAATAAACAGCAGAATGATCAGTGACAGGACTCCACATCTGGAGCACATGGTTCCTTCTGACCTGATCAATGTAGAAAACAGAACATATATTTTCACCAACTCATTTGAAATTAGCCTTTTTTACTATTTTTCTGCATAATGAATGCTACAGTATTACAACATACGCTACCATTCAAAAGTTTGGAATCAATGTTTTAAATAATATAAAACTAATTTGGTTGCAGAGTAACATTAGTCTAATATGTTTGTTCTGTACAACGCACAGGTTTCAGAAAATTAGGAGGACTCTTATATGATGAACAGAGCTGTAGAAGATTCTAAAATGACCAATGGAGCTATAGAACATTAAGAATTAAGCTGCAATAAAAATGAAGCTACACTTTTGAGGATTTTTGAGGACCTCTCTGGTAGAAATGTGTAATTGCATGCTACATTTAAAAGAACATTAAGTAGCGTAGGTTGTGCTGCAGAGCCCTTCCCCGAGCGGATGAATCTGATAATTGAAAGAAAATTTAAAGAGAACTCTGGATGTGATTGATTTATCTACCGCTGTCATCATATATTCATCAGTATAATGCTGATTATGATCATTTGAGGCCTAAACATTGAGCCGCACCTTCTTTTTGAGCCTCTGTGTGTGATGTTAATACGTAAAGACGTACAGCGTGGTGTGACAAACTCCCGACCCGACGCCTCTGATTTTTAAATGATTACTTCAGGTTTTACAGGGTGACTCGCTGCAGTGCACGCCCACCATATTTCAGCCTGTTTTTATTCTCCTCACTCAGTAATGACAGTTCTTTCAGTTATATGCAGGTTTAATATATATATAATTTATATTTTAAAAGAACAAAATGTAAATGAATAAATAGAGAATATTATTTATCATTTAATAAATTATTGTAATTCTTAAAATATTGACCACAACATCTAAAAATACTTTTTGGTGAACAGTTCATAATATTTAACTCCATATGGTATAAGTGAGCATTATATATAAAATAACAAAAATTGTTAATATATTACAAGTGATTCCAAACTGTTAGTGAACACAGAACAAAGGTAAATGCAGATGTTTAGGCACTTATTTTTCATGATTCGCTGTTCATTTATGTTAACGTTTTTAATAATGGCTTGAATTTTTTTTTTACCTAAAAGTCTTTCAGGTGAATACCATCTGATCCAAATACAAATATAATCCTTTGTGGCTATTCTGCTAGGTTGGACAAGCTGTACAAACTGCTGCTGGCAAGAATCCCACTGAATGAGAAACTGTAGAACAGACTCAGTTTATATCACAATACCTACATTTAGAGCCGGTTATTCATTCAGCCTAATGAGAAACTGTAGAACAGACTCAGTTTATATCACAATACCTACATTTAGAGTCGGTTATTCATTCAGCCTAATGAGAAACTGTAGAACAGACTCAGTTTATATCACAATACCTACATTTAGAGCCGGTTATTCATTCAACCTAATGAGAAACTGTAGAACAGACTCAGTTTATATCACAATACCTACATTTAGAGTCCGTTATTCATTCAGCCTAATGAGAAACTGTAGAACAGACTCAGTTTATATCACAATACCTACATTTAGATTTGGTTATTCATTCAACCTAATGAGAAACTGTAGAACAGACTCGGTTTATATCACAATACCTACATTTAGAGTCGGTTATTCATTCAGCCTAATGAGAAACTGTAGAACAGACTCAGTTTATACCACAATACCTACATTTAGAGTCGGTTATTCATTCAGCCTAATGAGAAACTGTAGAACAGACTTTATACCAGAATATCTAGATTTAGAGACAAACATTTGACAACATTGCTGTTTATTCAGTTTCCGGTAGGAAACGAATCCATTCACATGAAAAGTAATCGAATGTGTAGCTGTCTGCAGTCAGACTTTCCATGTTTCTTCTACTTTCTTGAGTCTTTCTGAGTCTTAATGTTAAAGTCCGAGTCACTGGTGCTCAAGTCAAAGTTGAGTCACAAGTCCTCCTTGATTTTCTCAAGTTGAGTCTCAAGTCATCAAATTTGCTTTGTGAGATTTTCTGTTTTCCATACAGCTGTGTGAGATCAGAGCAGCCCACCCAGTGAAGTTACAGACTAACACAGAGAGAAAGATGAACAGTTCTGTGTTAAAATCCTCATCAAAGTGTTTTCCCTTCAGACAACTTGCAGTTTTGACACTGGTGGTAGAAACTAAATAAGCTGGGCCTGATTTGTCCCTTCAGACAAGTTTTCAGTCAGAAGTGATTGACAGTGCAGATGGTGTGAGAACAAAAACGAGTCTTTAGTCTTCTGATCGAGCTCTGGAGCGACTGGAGACCTTCTGAGATTTTCAAAAACACGATTCAAAACATTCAGTCCTGAAGGGTGAGATGGTAATTAAATGAGCGATTCAGGCCACAGCCACTGAGAGAGCTGGGAAGGATAAAAAGGAGAAGTGTATGAACGTTGTGTGGTTAGCAGACCACCAAGATAGAGGAACTGCTTGGTCAACACAGGCTTTAAAAGCCTTTACAGTGTTTGTAACGTTTATAATATATGGACCCAGCGTCAAGACGTCAGGCAGATTTTCTTCTTGTATTAAGTGGCCTATTTGACTGGAAATTAAATAAATAAACTGTGGTCCATTTTTTTGCACAGTACTGTAAGTAAGCAGATATTTACACTGACCAGAATCCCCAAAGCTTTTGTATTCAACTGTATTCAGATTATTACATTCCTCACATTTTTAAATGACAGATAATATCAGGTTTCACACAGAACAGTTATGGCAAAGAAAACCGTACCTACATTCTGTTGCGAGGACTTCTCACATGCACGTGTAAGAAATGTGAAGGGTGAGTGCGTTTTCTCTGTCTATAGTGAATAATTATTTCTCAACACCCAGCTCTAACTTCCTTCCCTTTTTAAGTACTAAAAAAGGAACAGTGTTTTAACCATTCTCATTTTACTCTCTTATTTTCAAACAAAATCTCACAACCTTGATGCAGGGGTTGAATTTGAGAATAACTGTTTAATTTTCATCTTACAATTGAATTCCACTGGTTTTTCAAAGTTTCTGCTGAATTTAGTGGTTAAGATGTAAACGGAGTGATTCAGAGTGGTTTGGTGTGAAATGGGTAAGATTTCTTTACAGTGGTGGTGATGGGAACCAGTGGTAACCATGACTACAACACAAATATAGACATTTTATTTACTATCCAAAACCACCAGTGAACCTACAGTTGTGGCCAAAAGTTTTGAGACTGAGACAAAGTTTTCAAAACGTTTGCTGCTTCGGTTTTTATGGTGGCAGTTTGCATTAACTCTAGATTGTTATGAAGAGGGATCAGATGAATTGCAATTAACTGCAAAGTCATTCCTTGTCATGAAAATCAACTTAGTCACAAAAAAACCCATTTACACTGCATTTCAGCCCTGCCACAAATTAGCCTGCTAACATCATTTCAGTGATCTTCTTGTTAGCTCAGGAGAAAGTCTTAACAAGGACAAGGCAACTGATATCACACTGGCATGCAGATTGAATTAGACGAGCAGACTGGCTGCTTTAAAAGGGGGGTGGTGCTTGAAATCATCGTCTTCTTCTGTTAACCATGGTTACCTCCAAGGAAACACGTGCAGACATCATTGCTTTGCATCAAAAGTACTTCACAGGCTGCTGATTGTAAAATTGCACCAAAATCAATCAACTATCGGATCAGCAAGAATTTTAAGGAGAGAGGTTCAATTGCTGTGGAGAAGGCTTCAGGGTGACCAAGAAAGTCCAGCAAATGCCAGAACTGTCTCCTAAAGTGGATTCAGCTATGAGATCGGGTCACCACCAGGGCAGAGCTTGCACAGGAATGGCAGCAGGCAGGTATGAGTGCACAGTGAGGCGAAGGCTTTTGGAAGATGGCCTGGTGTCAAGAAGGGGCAGCAAAGAAGCCACTTCTCTCCAAGAAAAACATCAAGGACAGACTGACATTCTGAAGTACAGGGATTGGACTGCAGAGGACTGGGGTAAACTTATTTTCTCTGATGAAGCCCCCTTCAGGCTGTTTGGGACATCAGGAAAATTGATTGTCCGGAGAAGAAAAGGTGAGCACTACCATGAGTCCTGTGTCATGACAACAGTGAAGCATCCTGAGACCATTCATGTGTGGGGTTGCTTCTCATCCAAGTGAGTGGACTCACTCACAAGTTTGCCTAAGAACACTGCCATGAATAAAGAATGGTATCAAAACATCCTCCAAGAGCAACTTCCCCCAACAATCCAGGAGCAATCTGGTGATGAACGATGCTTTTTCCAGCAGGATGGAGGCAAAATGATAGCTAAGTGGCTCAGTGAACAAAACATTGAAATTCGTGGTCCATGACCAGAAAACTCCCCAGATCTCAATCCCATTGAGAACTTGTGGTCAGTCCTCAAAAAGCGGGTGGACAAACAAAAACAGAAATTGTGATAAACTCCAAGCACTGATTAGGCAAGAATGGGTTGCCGTCAGTCAGGATTTAGCCCAGAAGCCAATATCCAGCATGCCAGGGCGAATTGCAGAAGTCTTGAAAAAGAAGGGTCAACACTGTAAATGTTGAGTCTTTGCATAAACTTGATGTATTTGTCAATAAATGTTAAAAAAAAACCTTATGAAATGCTTATGATTGTACTTCAGTATACCACAGAAACATCTGACAAAAAGATATAAAAACACTGCAGCAGCAAACTTTGTGAAAACCAAAATTTGTGCCAGTCTCAAAACTTTTGGCCACGACTGTACACGTGTCTTCTTTTCACGTGTCTCTGAGCTTTTATATTGATTGTTGATGGTGTAAAATAGAGGAAAATCTGAGAAAATAAGTTTTTGGGGGGACTACTTTGCCTTATATCTAAATGTTAATGTTAGAACATTTTAAATGTAGTGGATCTGTGTTGTTCTAGATTTTGTCTTATGAGTCAGGTTTTTAGGCATCATAAGACTGATGAAATGCTATTTTGCAAGGAAAACATAACTTCCTTGTATGAATCCTTTTAGAGTCTTTTAATAGAGTATTACTGCCT